ACTAATCAGCCACCACCTTTGACAGTTTTTCTCCTTTTTCTTGCCAGCGATCTCCAGTTGTGACAAGGGATCCAGGGGATTCAAAACATCAGTGACCAGATGGTGAGAACAAAGGATTCATGCGCCACAAGTTGCGTGGTTTTCAGATCAGGAACTTGGTAAGGGCCAATGCTCGAAGTTCTCCGATAGGCCCCAGCCAATCTTTAAGTCATTAACATGTTAACCACAACCTGCAGCACCAAGGGACCAAACCATTGACTGTGAGCCTTTGAGCGTTTGGAGATGTGTTTGGAGACCCAGGCTTTCCGAAACAGAATGTGCCATTTTGTCAGATTCCCCGCTCTTTGTTAGAGCCGAACACGTGACACTGAGATCGGTGAGAACACCTAGTGGGGATTGATGATTGTTGCATGCCAAACGGACATCCTGAACAATTTCAGTTGAAATTTGTTCCAGGCCTCGCTTGGATCAAAGAAATAGCAAGCCACATACTGTCCATCTAGGCAGATGTAGAAAAGTTGTCACTCCATGTCTATGGTTCCTGTCTTTCTCCGGATGGCTCCAGCGGCCATTGAATTCCAATCCGTAGAAAGATCTACTTTGAACATTGATTGGTCAGCATTTTTTGGTTCAGATCTGCAGTGAGTTGCGGGCCTTTGGCGGGGCCTTTGGCGGGGCCTTTGGTGGGGCCTTTGGATCCGCCAGTTCAGCATGTCACGGAACTTGCACATCAAAAGGGTCATGTTTCACTCCTTTGAGTCTGGAATCAAAGGTGTTCAAACACATGCACGTAAACCTGCAGGAAAGTGCAGGCGTGTAATGTTGTGTATGCGCGTAATGTTGTGTAATAATTCCGTAGGTTCAATTGCGGTGTTGATTACCAAAGAAAAAGTATAATGCAGAGTCATCTCGCCAATGAATGTCCCCGTGGGCGGCAAACAGCATAGATGTCAAGTGCGGGTCTGGGCACAACAGAGCATCAGCCTTCCGGTCCTCCCCATATAGCAGCCCCATACAGGATGGCTACCCAGTGCTGAACGAACCCCAGCACTGAAAACCCACCAGATCCTCCCCAAACGCAGTGCGAAATGATTGCATTATATTGCATTCGTTCAAACCACCAGGAATGGAGGTAGGGGGGTCAGCTGTCACCAAGTCTTTCACCCCGCTTGGAATTTCCTCTACAGAATCGCAACGGTTAAGCTGGGGAAAATGGTGCGTTTTAACCCCTGCTTTGTTGAGGGGTGCCTACCCGGTGATTTCATGTTGAATACAGCACTGAGCACTAGTCAGCTGAGAGTCTTGGGGACTGCGATTCTAGAGCGGGATATGTTTTCTTTGGAAGTATACCAGAGCATCGAGGATTAAAGAAAGGGAAACGGATGGAAACAGATGGAAACAAAATGAAGCAAAGTGACTTTCAAGATCTTTCAAGCATTTTTCACCAGTTGACACTGAACACTTGGAGCAAGAGAGCTTTATAAATTTGGGAATGCATGAGGTAAGCTAGGCAAGGGCAACTGGAGCATTCAGGCCAGCTGTCAATGAATGAGATTTGGGGAAGCTGATTTTATAGAAGGCCAACTAACCCCCCCAACCTAAAAAAGGCTCTACGAGAGTGACTTGGCGGCAGCTATTCTATAGAAAATGATGCTCATAAACAACCTCAGTGACAGCAATTTTCTATAAAGATTGTCAACTTGAAAATACCTTGGGGTCTCTGATTCTATAGATGCATTTTCAGAAAGAGGGTCGGCATCTCCAGAATTATCACTATAAAATTGCTGACGCCAACACTCTCACTTAATTCAAAGGGGGATAGTCTTTCAACCTCGTGGGCCAGCTTTGCCAGAAGTGTGATGCAGCTGGAGCCAGCCACAAAAATTGTCGTGATTCCCAAATCCAGCTTGCAATTCTTGATGAACATGTGAGGAGACACTGCTTTGTTGAACTCTTCCAATTCTGTTGAAGCTGTCTTGCATGTGCAAACATTCCAATCGCAGGACCTGTGAAACAGCGTGAGGTATTTGCCCATGGCCCCTGGTGTATCAATTTTCTCGGGGAGCAATGTCCTTGTTCCAATACTGTGACGCGAACAATGAGGCATTTTGATTTGGAACCTCCGACGCTGACAGGCCCGGCCCTTAGATACGTCATAATGGCCCAGCTCTTATTGCCAAAACTTGATGGCATTCGCTGATCTAGATCAGAAATTATTTCCACATCGAATGTGTTTGTCAAACTGTTAAGCTTTCCCAACCACAAGGGTGGAGAAGCCATTGATGCTAGGATGCATTTGGCGTTGAAGACTCCTTAGCAAGAGTGATTCAGGAGAAACAGTGGTACCGCATGCTCAGTGCCAGATTCCCGTGCCAAAAGAGGGTAGGCGAGGGCAACATTGCAGTGCAGCCAAGCCATGTAAGACCTCATTTGGCACCGGCAAAAAGCAAGAAGGCTTGAGAAACGACTGCTTGGTGCTTCCTTTTCTGCTAACTTGGAAAGGCTGTGGGTGTTTGATGGTATTTGCCAGAAAGAGAGGTTATGAGAAGCGCAGAAATGCTTGAATTGTTCGTAGATCGCAACATCAGCATTCGCCTTGGCTAAAGCCTTCTGTGCCAGGAAGATTCTGAGCTCTATGCATTCCTATACACCTCCGCCCAAATCTTCTCCTCAAAACCAAATTTCTCAATGGATGTGGGCTGAGTGTTCAATAGCCTTGTTGAGCACAGGCGCCAATTGTCCTTATTATGGTCTCTATTGAGGCTTGTGCCTCGTGACACTTGATATCAAGCAGGTATGCATACGGTATGAGGCATCAAGAAAACTCAGCAATGCTCAAGCAGACCTCAAATCATCGAAACTCAAAGAAATACCTTCATTGCCTTGGGAGGCCTTCAAAGGCTTCAATCATTAATAAGTTTCAATGAGCCTCAATAAGCATTCATAGGCCTAAAGAAACTTTGAATCTTTAAAAGTGACCATGAAACAAAGAAACCCACGTTCAAAACCCTTATGTAGAGGGCTTTACTTGGGCTTAAACTGGGTAGTGCCCGCGAAAGCTAAAACCCAACTTGCGAAGGCTGGGCGAAAGCTTGGCGAAAACCAAATGGACAGACACCGTCGCGAAAGCTTCGCGAAAGTGGATGATTGACCGATTTTAAATAGCGATATATATCTGCATCCTCGAAAAAACACAAACAAATGTTCATTTGAGAGATTTCTGCTTTTTGAGCGGTTTTCCTCCACATGAGCGTAATTGCACCGCTTTTGGCAGTTTTGCACTTTCTGCATTTTGAAGCAAAAAATATGAGCGTATTTTCCCGGGAATACCTGGAAAAAAACGTAAATACCCGTCCGTCAGGCTCCAGATTCGCGTTTTCAACTTCGAGTGAGCATAAAAAGTCAGAACGAGCGTAAATCCAAGCAGAAACTGCTAGAGCAGAAAAAAGTGCTAATTGAAGATTTATATACATGTATCACAGGTTGTTTTGGATCTTATTTTGATCTTATAAACTTCCCAAATACGCCGAAAGCTCTGGAAAGGCAGTTCGCGCGAAGGCCGGGAGTTTGGTCGCGAAAGCACCATGAAAGGATTTGTGAAAGCACCATGCGAGTAAAATGAAATACTCCAAATGGAGTCAGAAGTGCAGAGCCCAGCGCGTGCAATCGGATGTGCCCTGGCATGTGCTTCGAGAGGGTCTACGGGGGCGAAAGTTGGCAGCAAGTCTGTCCTACTGAACGCTGTGTCAGTGCCTGCTTGACGAATAGTAGCCGGCGAGACATGTCAGTCATTTTGCCAAGCTGGGAGGACGCGTCCATTTTCCATGCAGTGCTTGCAAGTTTGCGTGAGAGCCCAACAGGTGCAGGAAAGGTCACAATGGCGGGCTTATTTCTATGAATTCCTTGTCATACAAATACTTTTGCAACAGATTCTGCAAGTCCAACCGGTTCAAGGTTGCACTTGCACTGCCTCCTTGTTTCTTATTTTCATGCTTTCAAGTTTTTAATCAAATGCTTGATTCCCAGTCGATGGAGGTTTGCTTGTAGAGCTTATCAAGAACCTTGGAAAGTTCAGAATGTATGCGGAATGGGCTGTCCCTCGTTTTTCAGTGTTGACTGTGGAGACTTTTGACAAGATGCTTGATTCTCAGCCAAAGACCTCAGGAGCCCGTGATTCATTAGTTCGTCCACTCCGTTCTACAGCCTCTGATGCGCAACTGGTTTGCTGCAGCTGGAGCTACGCACGTTTGGTGTGAGTAAGATAGTTGCATTACGCACAAATGTTGCAGCCATCCTATGCTTCAACCCTCCCATGTGTGGCTGCGAACGAACTGGTGGCAATCCTTGACTTGGAAATGTGCTTCGCGCCACAACGGCGTGCACTTTTTCGACATCACAACTTCCAAAAGTGGTCCGAACCCCTGGTGTTTTGTACATTTTGCCTTGGAAATGTGCTTCGCGCCACAACGGCGTGCACTTTTTCGACATCTCAACTTCCAAAAGTGGTCCGACGCTGAGGGGTTTTGTACATTTTGACTTGGAAATGTGCTTCGCGCCACAACGGCGTGCACTTTTTCGACATCTCAACTTCCAAAAGTGGTCCGACCATGGTGTGTTTTGTACATTTTGACTTGGAAATGTGCTTTCGCGCCACAACGCCGTGCAATTTTTCATCTCTCCTCTCGCCAGCTGGCTCCGCACCCGCCGCTTTAGCGAGCCTACTTTTCGACCCTCCGGAGCCACAAATCATTGGAAAAACACAGTGTTTCGCGACTTTCCTACCTTTTCGCGCATCTGCATCTTCTTTCTTCTTACTCTTTCTCTTCTACTCTTCTTTCTTCTAATCTTCCTCTTCTCTCTGCCTCTTCCCCGCTCTGCTTTTCATCTGTCATATTGTCGGAAGTTTGACTTCTAAACTTCCTTCGATCATGCAAATATCATTATACATTGATAGCTAGATGGGGCTATAGATCAACTTATAACGTGGGGTTTCAGCCAAGGTATGAATCGCGTCCCGAGACCATGGGGAAGATCATTTCTGCCCAAGTGAAAATGATGGATGGGCGAAACCGCCAGCTCACCATGCGCGAGAATGGATTTGAACTCGTTGAGCAGCCTACGGGCATGTCTCGCCAGGATTTTTTTGATGACAACATCGTGAGGCAAAAGTACTACCCCCTGTGTGTAGAAACCATCAAGAAGGTCACTGGTGCGCCAATTGTGATTTGTTTCCATCATCTTGTGCGGGGACATGGTACCGGGAAACCCTTTGCTGGATTGGCCCATGCGGACTACTCCACCTGGACTGCCACCAATCTTCTACAAGATACACCACCACCTGGCATCATGGACTTTAAGGGCCGCCTCAGTGTGATGAACCTTTGGCGGAACATCAACCCCGACAGCCCCATCCAAAACCATTTCCTGGCGTGTTGTGATGGTGCGAGCGTGCTTGCACCTGATGATTTCATTAGTGTGAGAGTCCCGACTTGGGAAGGTAAGGAAACCCACATGTACCACATGTGCGGCAACAACCATCGACTCCACAAGTGGTATTATTACCCTCTCCAGACCGCAGACGAGAATCTGATCTTTATGCAATACGATTCCGACCCCCATGTGAAATGCCGTTACACGTTCCACTCGAGTGTTTCAGTCGACGATGGAACGCTGGACTACAAACGAGAAACTCCGTCCTGTGTTTTCAGAGTGTTTCTTTTTCACACTACTAACAATGGTGATGTTCATTTTCCATACCTACTTTAAATTACCAAAGGGTAATATCAACATTTACCAACATGTTTTTCTTAGCTCATAGTTTTCAGGCGCATTGGATCATCCCAGACTTGGTTGAAATCAGGATTGTCCCTGTAGTTTTCGGTACCAACCCATTGGAAACTGTGCCAAAACCATCGGCACCAACCCATTGACACCAGGAAAGTATTGAAGTTCGATGTGTCGCCTACTTCCCAGATGCTGAGAACACCTTGCCCGATTGGACTTTACCTGCTGATATGCGGGTAGATGCTGCGGTGGAGGCTTGTAAAACGCACACCAAACACGTCAAGGCTTCACCAGACAGACGATATCAGATGGGAGCAGCATCTTTTATCATGGCTGATAACCACCGAGGTTGGCTGATGGAGATGTTGGAATACAATCGTCGGGTGGCACATCATGCGGCCTACAAGGATCTCACGGATGATCAACAGGAGGAAGTAGCTGAGCGGGTGGCGAATGATCAGAACTGGAAGAGCTTCATGGACGAATGGGCCGCCACCATGTTTGAAGGTAAAGATCCACTGAGCGCCGCCGTGGAATTTGTGGAGCTCCATTTGTTAGGCTTTCAAAAGTGGGCCCCAGTGCATCGTGACAGGACCAAGACATCCATCCAAGAAGGGCATATCAAAGAAATGGTCACTGGAACTTGTGCACATTTTAAGGGTCAAGATCGGTATCCCTTCACTACCTTAAAGGCTAGTGATTGGCCAAGCGTTTGGAAACGTTTGCAAGCCGCAGACTTGGAATCAAAGCTGCGTGACTTAGCGACATCGGTTGGTACGTAGGCTCCAGAATGGAACCGACCGGTTAAACCGGAGGTTGAAAGAAGGGAGCGCAAGATGCTGCTACTAAGCATAGATGCTGATTTCATGTGATATAAACTATACACATCAATAATATTCAATAATCATGTACATAATTCTAACATGTCCTTATGTGCATATTCCATATGTGAGCCGTCCGTAAAAGCAGATAACAAATTTATGAATTGATGCGTTTACTCTGCTTTGCGCGATTGCCAAAACCTGCATCGCGATAGGCTGAGCGATTGGTTATACGGCTACGACTACAACTACAACAACAACAACTACTACTACTACTACTAATACTAATACTAATACTAATACTACTACTAATCTACTACTAATCTACTACTAATCTACTCCTAATCTACTACTAATACTAATACTAATACTACTACTAATCTACTACTAATCTACTACTAATCTACTACTAATCTACTACTAATCTACTACTAATCTACTACTAATCTACTACTAATCTACTACTAATCTACTACTAATCTACTACTAATCTACTACTAATCTACTACTAATCTACTACTAATCTACTACTACTACTACTCCTGCTACTGCTACGACTAGTACTACTACGACGAGTACTACTACTACTACTACTACTACTACTACCTACTACTACTACTACTACCTACTACTACTACTACCACCTACTACTACCACCTACTACTACCACCTACTACTACCACCTACTACTACTACTACTACCACTACTACTACTACTACTACTACTCCTACTACTACTCCTACTCCTACTCCTACTCCTACTATTGGTATTACTGTGAATTTTCCGGACCGCTTCCGGACCGCGCAATTTTCTTTTCTTCTCAAATATGAAAACGAATGCGTTCATGGGCGGATCCTTCTACTGGTGTTGCTACTACTCTCAGTCTTACCACTAGCGCCGCTACCACTGCAACGCCGCTACCACTACTACACCGAGGAATTTTTGCCTTTGCTTTTCTCCACTTGACAGAAGCTCCACGGAAGGGTCAGAAATCAGTCAGAAACCAGTCAGAAACCGGCCAAACGCAACCTCTCTCTCTCTATTCCCTCACCCTCCTACCAGAACTCCTACGCCTACTCCTATTCCAATTTCCACTACCACTACTGCTACTGCTACTGCTACTGCTACTGCTAGTGCTGCTGGTACTACTGTGAGTTTTCCGGATCGTTTCCGGACCGCGCAAGCTTATTTTGCTCACAAATTTGAAATCGAATGCGTTCACGCATGGATCCTTACTCTCATTAGTAGATTTGCTACTACTCTTAGTACTACCACCACACCCGCTGCTACTGCACCACCACTACCACTAGTACACCTAGGATTTTCTGCCTTTGCTTTTAGATCCAATTGACACGAGTCCCGCTGAAGGGTCAGAAACCAGTCAGAAACCAGTCAGAAACCCGTCAGAAACCGGCCAAACGCAACCATTTGTTTCCCCCCTCCCTCCCTCTCTCTCTCTCTCTTTCTCTCTTTCCCTCCCTCTCCCTTTCTTCCCTTGCCTTGCTACTAGAACTCCTACTCCTATTCCTACTCCTACTCCTACTACCCCTACTACTACTACTACTATTACTACTACTACTAGTACTACTGCTGCTGGTACTACTGTGAGTTTTCCGGACCGTTTCCGGACCGCGCAAGCTTATTTTGCTCCCAAATTTGAAATCGAATGCGTTCACGCATGGATCCTCATTATATAATACATAACTTTTATTTTATGTATATGATCTGATCAACGAAGAACAAACCCTTCCGCGATTGCTCACTGTGGTACCGCGGTTGCTACGCGATTGGCTGAGCGATTGAGGGCTGTCCGGGAAAAGGTATTTTGGACAACCCCCATATGTCCATATATACACATCATTCTAAGATGTCTGGCAGTTCGTACACTTCCATGGGATCTCAGGCACATCAACTTATCAGAGCATCGAAGCCAACTGGTGGTAACTGGGATCGGGTAGCCACTGTAAAAAGCAGTCTGATTTAAAAACCCACTGTAAAGTATTAGTGCACTTTGATATCGTTTGATTGTTTGGATGACGTCAAAGAATGATAAAAAATGAAAAGTTCAAAGCACTTGAACCTAGAGATACCTAGAGTCTGAATGATCCGAATCCTCTTCCTGAAAGCTACAGTAACTTGATTTTTCGCTCCTACAAAACAGTGACAAGGTATTCAGTTCAGGGTCGCAGTTGTTTCTCGAATATCCCAGTCCCTGTTGGGCGACATGATGAAGGAAGGGGGACGATGGCAATAAGTCGATGAGATTGAGACATATTGAGATATGTATAGAATCGTATATAGATATGTTTCATGATGGACAGACATGTATCCCCAGACATGCAAATCAGCCATTCCTGGCTCCATCTTGCAGTGATCTTGTCAGGAAAAGTACTATGAAGGCCTGCAGGGATCTGCTGATCTACCAGTGTCGATCAAAAGATACAGAAGATATAAATGCAGCACCAAGATCAAGCGCCCTCTTAGTTTCAAAGCAATCCTTAGAACATGTTGGAACTCTTGTTCCGTTTCTTGAGATTTCTATCGATTTGATGTTTTTTTGGATTTTGGAGATGATTTCGGGAGGGTCTTCCTATGGTTTCCCATAGGATGTTGATACTAAGTTTCTGCAGCGGCCAAGATGCCTTTGGACAGGTGCAAGGTTGATCAAGGTTGATTGTTATCCCAACATTGACAAGTGCCCATACTGAATACAGGAAAAGCTTGGGATGCTTTGCTCAAGTAGTTTTATCAATGCTTCCAAAGAAGACATCGTGAGCCACCTTTTCGTGATTTTAACATTTGGCAATTCAGATTCGGTGAATTCAGTTCAGGAATAAACAAACAGCATTGCAAGTAGTTGCGAGTAGACAGAAGAAAGTGTTCAACCAGGTTGTTGCACCTCCCACACTCCACCGCGAGGCATTGATTCCGATGTCTACTTCGAGGAGCTGCAAAAAGCGCAGCTGCCAGAGCTCTCGGCCTTCCGGCTCCCGAGGCATTTCAAACTGGTTTTCGCGCTGTTTATGTACAAGCTGGGGAAGATCCCCACAGAAATATGTTAGCTTTATGTGGGTATGGGTCAATACCTATAGATACATTTTTAATGGGATGAACATCCATAAATCCCAGCTATTTTGGGGTTCACCAGGGGTACCAGGGTTTTGACTCATAGCTTTATGTGTCCATTTAGAGCACGCCTTGAAGGTGAAGGGTTTTTTCCGCAGGCTCCTGATCAGAGTTAAGAAATGCGTTCTGCGGAGCGAGTCATCGAGATCGAAGGCCGGTGTGGCCTACAACCTATTTGGGATGAAATATTTTTACTTGCGGACTGGCTCCATGTTCCCCATGTTCGATGGCTGGAAAGAGTCGTGGTTTGCCTTGTGGTTCCCGGTGCCGAAGCACTTGGAGGGGCAATCTCCTTCCCTCAGTTGTTGCCATGACAAAGATGCCCTGCTACACAGTGGCCGTTTGGCTTTTTAAGTGGTGTTGGCGAGATAAAAGGACTCATACACCAGCTTTCTGTGCTTTTTCAGCCGCAAAAACATGTACTGTACACGTCCTGATTGAACTTGAGATTAGCAGACCCACCATGTTTTTGATATTTTTTGATTTTCCGTTCAAGCCAGCATGACGTCCAGCGTTCAGAACTTTTTTCTGTCACCATGCGTTGCTTCAAGGAGGCTGGCTGCGACAACCAGTGATGTGCAAGGGTTGTTGAAGGGGTGCTGTTAGACTGTGAAAACACTGCTGCCACTTTTTCTCAAACTGCCGCTTTCAAAGGGCTGGCCTACGACGTTGAAATGTGCTACATCGACTATATATTGGTAGTCAAAATTGGGTACCCCAATATAGTGACTGTATCTGGTTTGTGTTACTGGTTTGGATTGGGCTCCCCAGTGCTACGATCATCGCAGTACCCCAATTAATTTGGACGGTGAATCTGTGGTCCCGCGGGCCAATGCCCTCGCGATGATGGCGACTTGGCATCCCCATGCACCTTGGATCAGGCGTGCAGCGTGGGGCAGTTGAGGATGCGACAGGCGACTGGCCATGAACAACAACGGCGCCAGCAAGAAATGCGCAATGCGAAGATGTCCACCATGATTCGAAGTGCTTGAAACATGTTGAAACTTGACCAGTGCGTTGTGGTTAAAGATTCGACCCAGAAACCAAGGCCACACAAACCCGGTGGAAACCCCCAAAGACAGGACTTAAGATGTTGTCGAAGTGGTTTTCCTTGGAACTTGCCAAGGTTTTCTGATGTTTTCTGCAACTTTTGAAGCGATTCTTCTTCCCCGTAAATCAAACTCTGTTTGATTGGTATGTATCGAGCGGGTAGAGAGCTACCAGGTGAGTCCTACAAGTTTTCCTTGCTCCTCAGTGCTGATCAGCGTGCCACGGTAGGTTAGAGAAACTTCATGCCGAAGCAACCGCCAGAGGTTGGTACTGTTGATTTGTCGATGTTTGGCGCGTTCAAGTCTTGTTGGTTATACGGTTACCCTCTGGTAAACTAACAAAAAGCTATTGAAAATTGCCATTTATAGTGGATTTTCCCATGAAAAATGGTGATTTTCCATTGCTATGTTAGTTCACCAGAGGGTATACATGCAATATGGTTGAACATGATAGAATATGCTCAAGAATTGACGGTGTGGGGATTCGTTGACGATTTGACATGGCAGGTTTTTCGCGCGCACCATGATGCACCATGTTTTTGCAAACTATCCTGAACAAACACCAATATTTCCTGCGCAAAATACCATGTTGTCCCAAAATTTGCCACCTTTGTTCTGGAAGATGATTCCCAACAATTGATGTTCTGGAGGGGATTGCTCAACCGACAATAGCAGGACATGCCACAAGATTTGCCAATGAATCCTTCGTGAAAAAAACGGGTATTACCTTGAATTCTTTTGGATATTTAATAGATACGATATATTCACCATCACCATTTTCAATAATTAGGCAGCTTTGTGATCGTTTTCCAGAGCTATGTTAAATTGCCACAATGTATATTTCGCTAAAACCCATGTAATGGGCCTTGCAACCACCAATAGCCAACAACTATCAGGTTCTATCCCATCCCACTGACTGTGTTCTTTTTGGCGCCCAAAGGCTATTCATCTTTAAAGGGGATGGATGGATGATCACTTGGATTTTCTCTAAAGGGGACACTCATTGATTTTTATTGATTCCCCCACATTGACATATATTTACACCGACCAAGGTGGACATATATCTCAGATATGGACATTTATTGCTCCAATCAGCCCCCCCAAAAAATGGGCTTCGCGGCAGTTGCTGGCCTCACCTCCATTAATCTTTTGTCCCCCGCCCAGACGTGCCTTGGACCTGGCCGAAGTGTGGAAATCGCGGCGGGAGTGTGGTCAGAAGAAGGGAATTCATAAAGGCGATATCATCATTCAACAATTGCTGGTTGATGTTTTTCAAGGTATTAGTATGTATATTGTATATATATATATATGTATTAGTAATAAACTATCAAACTGGTGTGGCCATTTTTGTGGGGGCATATGACGTTTTGAAAGCCTATGTAATTAATTATATGGCTTATGTAGGAGTCTTACTGACCAAAAATGGACCTCAAAAACGCTGCCAGATTGGCCTTCACCCACCTTAGGATTGATTTGAAGGAAAAATTGCAGCCTATATTGCATGGCACATATCATGGTCTCCTGTCGTTTTTCCCTTCAAAGCCTTCAACCAATCGATTACACCCAGTTTTTGAGGATTTTGACCTCTATGACCCTATGACTTTACCAACTGGGATGCTAGTTCCCCTACACAGCAGTCCCGTAGCGTCAGGCTTGGTCTTCCTCTGATTTCACAGTAAGTCCAACCGCAGCCAACACAAACCGGTCAATGGTTGTTCCTTCCGGAAAGCATTGCCCAGGTATCTACCGTAGCTTTGCTGATGTTTGTATCTCATCTAGTCACTAGAGTCGTAATTTGAACTTTGTTTTTTGACCCGCTTTTAGGCGCCATTTTATGATTCATTGTAATCTCATTTCGTGGTTTTACCCAGACTGTTCCCAAGAAATATCGTGATAAAAACTTGGACACCTGTACCTTCTGGTAATTTAACATAGCTATTAAAAATTGCCATTTATAGTGGATTTTCCCATTAAAAAAATGGCGCTTTTCCATAGTCATGTTAGTTTACCAGAGGGTAATTCACAGTTCCCCAGGCACCTATGATTGCCTCACAGATGGAGACACAGATTGCGTCGAGCCCCGAAGGCAGGCAAAAGTTGGATCTATCTTTGGGTAATTTTTTGAGAAACGATCCAGCATCAGTTAGGTCGCAATTTATTTCTGCTTGGTGGTGACTTTAATATCTTTAATGGGATTATATACCAATAATAGTGGTTAATGATGGTTAATGGTTAATAATCACTGGTTGGTGGTGACTGGAGACTTTCCATTCAGTTGGGAATGGAAAAATCGTCCCATTTGACGAACTCCATCATTTTTCAGAGGGGTAGGGCGAAAAACCACCAACCAGATTGAAATCATGTAAAACACAGCCCTGGTTTGGGAAGTTAATTGGGGTTCTCCTTTGCTCCACTACGATTTAAGCGAGTTTTATGGGTTCAGATATGGATCCGAATGGTGCGGCGATGCGGAATTATCATAGTCTCAATTTCCGAAAATCCGAAGAAGATCCAGCCATGACAATTCGCAATTTCCTGGAAATGAGGGAATCAAGTTGATCCAATGTAGTGCAAAAGTTAGATGTGGAGGTTTCATTCCTAGAATATCTCTAAAATGGAGGTAGGTAAGGGTACCCCAAAATCATCTATTTTATAGATTCAATGGATTGGTTTAAGGGAAAATTTACACCGGAAACCAGAGTTATTTTCCCATTAAGATCATGGGGCTTTCCTGGTAAATTTTTCCCTTAATCCAATCCATTGATAGATGGGATTTTCCATGAAATAAACCATCCATTCTTGGGATCCTCCAATGGTGGGAACGGTGGACTTGTCTTGCCCCGAGGAGCTTGGAGTCCACGCCCGCTACGCGGCCGCGCCGGGCGCGGCCCATAGCTCCCAAAGCTGAAGGTGGGGTTCCACCCAGGGGGTACCACCGGTTACCATTGAAATAAATGGATCAAGAATCTTGGGTTACCATAAATCACCATAAATCACAATGAAATCACCATTTTTGTTGGTTAATGTTGGTTATGTATCACCATGAAATCACCATATGGGTTTGTCTGAAAATGTTGGGTATATTCCCAATGAAATAGCCATTTAAAAACGGGATAATGATCAGCAAAACCATTGGGTAAAAAGGGCTACACTATTTTCAGACACACCCAAATGGACAAGACCAAGAATCTTGGGATACTGGTGGTTTGGAACATTTAATTATTTTTCCATTCAGTTGGGAATGGAAAAATCATCCCAACTGATGAACTCATATGTATTTTTCAGAGGGGTAGGGCTCAACCACCAACCAGGGTATCATGTAAAGATTCGTTTCGGGGGTGTGGTGATCCATGATATCCCAGCAATAGGATCACCGGGCCATGCTGAGGGAAGAGCTTGGTATTTATTCATAAGTCATGGTGGTTTCCTAAGTCATAGGGGTAGCCCCCAAATATCCCAAATCCATTTATAGATGATGGATTTTCCATGAAATCAACATCAATAAACCATCAAAAGCGTTCCATTGGGGTACCCGCATGACTGAGCCAGGAATATGGATGTATCTGGGCTTCTGGAAAATGGATGAAAACGGGAACACCAAACATTATCCACGTATAGGGGATGGTTTATACATTGTACTATGACTATAATATTTTACAATTGTTTTTACCACATTACCCCCCTCGAAAATGGCTGCTTCACCATTGGGATTTACCATGTTTTTACCACCGCTGAAAAATCCAGGCAAATCTTCCTCCAGTGCCGGAAGCTCTGTCGGCAACGCAGAAAAGTTGACGAATGCGCCAAAGTTAAAGCGCAGAGTCAGCACGCAGAAACACTCGAAGCAGGAGATCAATGGATGCACTTTAGTGGAATTTCATGGGATTTGTATAATAGGATTTCATGGGATTTTGGGAGTTTCAGGATGCTTTCAGGGGCTTTTTTTCCAGGTGTAGACCGAATTTTCTTTGCAAGTTGTTCCCGCAACCTGAGTCGCAAAGAGACTTCAATCTTCAGGGAGGAATCCCAAGATGAACCCTGAGCTGTCCACGGTGAGGACTTGCAGACCCAAGCCAGCTCCGAGGTGCCAATGAGACGGGCGTGTTGAGGAATTGATTCATGGGAACATCGATGGGAACATCGATGACATAGACCCAGAGAAGGAAAATTGGAACATATCAGAACCATGTGCCATGCCATGCATTGCCATGCTGCCAGATCTTCAGATCCATTTCAGCTTTGTTTTGATGGAACCTGTGGAACTTCCACACTGCGACTGTGACCAGGATTTTTCGGCCACGTATTGGCAAACGGAAGAGTTGAACGAGTCTGGTGAGGCGCGGTCGGAAATATCCATTGAATTAGCCTCTGGTAAACGTTTACATAGCTATTGAACATGGCCCAGTCGAAATAGTGGATTTACATGGATTTACCCAGCTACAAAATGGTGATTTTCCATAGTTACGTTAGTTTGCCAGAGGGCAGCTTCATGTTTCTTTACTGCGTTCATCCGTAGTTTGTACACTTAAAGATCCTCAGTTGTTGTGACCCTCGCTGCGCAAAAGGAACCACAGATGAGTCAAATTGAGGAACAACTCAATCAAAATCCATTTATCTCTGCAGATGAGACATTTTGAAAGATTGCTGAACCTCGCCAAATATTTAAGTTCTGTTCCGGGTTTTGTTGCATCAATAGAGGTCCTGTACAAAGATTATATCTCAACCCTCAATGAAGTCACATTAAATCTCATATTCTTAGTATTTTCTGATATTCCTTTCCATCCTTATTATATCAGAATATGAGATTATATGGGACTTCATGTCATATCAGAATATCATCCTTATTATATCGGAATATCAATATTGGCATATCATATCCTTATGATATCCCCATGTCATGCCATGAATCACCCAGGAGCCGACCTCGCAACTGGAGATGGAGGTATCGATGGTGAAAAACAGGGGGTACCACCGGTGAGCATTGGAACATAGTTTATATTAGGAACCATGGAATAATCGATGGTTGGTGGTTTGGCACATTTAATATCCTAAACATGCTAACCGGATATCCTAAATGTCCCAATAACCAAGAATCTTGGGATACTGGTGGTTTGGAACCATGGAATAATCGATGGAAAATCATTTATATTAGCCATAGTTTTAAATACCATTATGGCAATGGACAATATTCCATCTATATCCATCTATGATTATATATTATTATGATGATATCTGGTTGGTGGCTTGGAACCATGGAATTTTATGACTTTCCATTCAGTTGGGAATAATCATCATCCCAAGTGACTTTCACTCCATCATTTTTCAGAGGGGTAGGGCTCAAAACCACCAACCGGTGAAACCACCAACCAGGTTTATATTAGCCATACCCTCTGGTAAACGTTTATATAAGTATGGAAAATCATCATTTTTGATAGGCAAATGAGCTATAAATGGGCCATTTTCCAGTTCGCAAACTGTTAGTTTACCAGAGGGTAAGTGATGGTCAGTGCTTAATCCAGAAAATGGACATCAATTCCATTAATTTCGAGGATTATTATGACATGGGTTTTCCGTGACTGATTAATGGATCTGACTTCAGCTCTTGCTTCGCTACCAATGATGGATTGGGGATCATTATGGGTCCCGCAACGTTGTCATCTGTGGCTGGCTCGAAAATCCGGGAACTGGAGGTTTTTTATTGCCATGTGACTGACGAGGGGAACTGTTTTTTTTAAAGGAGAATCCATGAGAATTCCAAGGCACCAAGAAGTGATTTGCCATGTTCAATGGTTTTTGGTTGTGTTTAGATTTGAAGATAGAATCAGCATGGAGGGGAACGCAGTAAAGGGTGAAACGGGTGGTGAAAATGAAATTCTTCCCATGTGCTGCTAGTACCGTAAGTTCTACGGGGTGGCTATGTTCCAACATGTCTGCAAGCCCCTTATGAACCAATATGTTAAACAAAAAGAGGCACAGGAAAGCCACAGAATTTTACAGAAGTTGTTGGATGTTTTTTGGGGATATCATCAAACCACACTGATCAAAAACATAACTGGTTGGTGGTTTGGAACTTTTTTTGTGTTCCATTCAGTTGGGAATTTCATCATCCCAACTGACGAACTCATATTTTTCAGTAGGTCAACCACCAACCAGATAAGAAAACAGAAATATCTTGCTTTTTCCTGTCGATGTTTCTTCGGGTTTCACTCGAGAGGTCGAGGAGTGGGTTTTGGACGAGGAGGCGAAACCGGAGATTTTTGCATCGAGCTTGTTTTGTCATGGCAAGCTCAAAGATGAACAAATTGGAAATATATAGATACCCTCTGGTAATTTAACAAAAAACTATGGAACATCATCATTTATATACATAATTTTCCCATGACTAGCATGGTGGATCTTTCCTGAGTTTTTTGTTCAATTACCAGAGGGTATTAATGTAAATATGATGAAATATATCATGAAAATCATCGTCCATAGCATCCTGATCCATCCAATTGTTTCACCCCATGAATCGGATCTGAGTTCAGCCCAGTTGTAGCTGGATTTACCCCGCCATTGCCGAGGTTTGGACATGTTATAAGCCACTTATTATACGATCCTTGGGGTGAACCGCCAGAATTATCGTCTAAATCAGAGGACGAATACCTTGACGTTGGATTTTTGTACTTCGCCTGGCAAAAGTGGGCCATCAATTTCAATCAAATGCACCTGTTTCTGTTGGACACTGCTAGATTGATGCATTGGGTTGGGGGGAAATCTACAACCCAGGTTTCTCCCCTCAAATATCGAGGTTTAGCCCGGTGTTTGCCATGTGTTTTTCCTATTTTCTCCCATGGTTTGTACAATTGTTTTCCCATGTCAGGTACCGTTGCACGAAGCGTTGGCGCAGGATCTGAAGCGACAAGGCGTAGCTCCACTGCTGGGCGATGGCGATGTATGCTATTAATTGTATGAATTCTTCCTACATACATCTATATAATTCTATATACATATGATATAATATATATATATATATCCCTAAGCCTCTATGGGCTCTACAGTTGAAGGTTTTGTCCCTGGTAATGAAGGTTTGGTCCCATGTACTGTGTCTGCCAGGGCCTGGGGACCTAGGGGAGAACATCTCGAGGGCCCCGAGGGACTGCAGCTCTGAAGGGTCAACACATAGAAAGAAGAACAATGAAGTCATGTTGTCAGCAATCAATGGATCAATCCCACATCATGAGATTAGCAAAAACCAGATTCAATTGTTCAACTCTTGCCTCACCGGTTCCAGCCCACAGAAATGAGATAAGGATCATGAAAAAATTGGAGAACTTTTTCTTTGAGGGGCTATCCTACATGAAGCTACGGAAAATCAAGTTCAAATACGTTCTATTCTGGAGATGCTTTGGCCACACAAGTGCCCACCCAGCGCTATGGTTTTGCATTCTCTCCCACGGTAGCTCTTGCTACTTTGCTGGATGGCTTGCATTGCATGCCTGCACGCGGCAAACATGGAGGACTGATTCTTGGGAAGTGGGTGCGGCACTCCAGATCATTGATCACGGTGATTCAATAGCACGGAACATACCATAACATACCAGCACATTGGAAAGGGGAATCACAAAATATTTGCCTGATTTTGCCTGCATGATGAAGCAATGCTTGCAAACAACCTCCGTCCTATAGAGTACGTTGTTGCTCAAAAGGGTGGGTGCCAGTTGAAAGCCATGAGCGGCCCAAGCTTGAAGGATGTCATTGGTGCCTTAGCCTATCTATCGATGGTACCTACCACCCACAAGATAGAAATATGTGTTCAATAATTAGATGGTATAGATTATGTCTATGTTTTCCCATGGCTCCCAATTTTCTATCCTTTTGGGGATACTATATTCATAAAACTTGTGAACGATTTTTTTTGAACATGCGCTGTCATGATGATATTGATATATATTCCCATACCTGCCTCAGCTCAGGTGTCATAAAGCTGTCATTGCCAGGCAGCGCTCTCCTGGATTGCGCTCGAACCGAGCCCCCGGGTAACACGATGTTTAAGGACATCAACCCGGTGCGGGTGGGGGTTGCAACAATGGAACAGTACCTTCCTCTGGTTTTGCGGCTCTTTGAGTTGACACCCGAGGGAATCTTGTCATGCGCAAAGGGTGGATTCCAAAAAAAAAAAAGTTCTGCATGTTGGATCCCATGGTAAACATAAACCCGTTAAATAAAAACCACGTAAGTAATTCCAAACCAAACCCTATATATAGTTTATCTGTGGTTTGTTTTTGAAAACGCCATTAAATTTTGAATGGTACCCGTCTTTGGGATTAACAGTACCATTTAACCATGTTTAAGGCACTTCAACAGTAGAGTCCATGAGTGTTAGGGACAGGGATTAGAAAAAAACCAGCAAATTGACAGAATTACCGCTATCATCTTAGGAGAGTACACCTCGACCTGTCTGTCCCAAGCTTTCATGGAGATGGACTCTGAGAGCAAGTTCAACTTGAGCCAGGCCCGGTATCTGAAGGATCGAACCACTTGGGCCAATTCCGAGCCTTGGTTAAATAAATTGGGGTGGATGTGATATGCTTCATGATTAAGAACATATGGGAACCTTTGAGAAATTTTGGCACCCATGATGATGATGATGATATAGAATGTCAAAACCAGCAAAAAGGCCTACAACACTACTGCCTTCTTAGGAGGCCTACTCCCTCTTCAGTTTGCTCTCATATTCCAGACGATACTGGAGGCGTTCATTGAACCGGCGTCATGTTACGGCTGCAACTTGGAAACATCAGAGCGATCGTACACATGTATACATATGATACACATGCATGCACATACCATTTATTTGTACATCAATCTTGATGACTTATAGTTAGTTTGTATACTGTGGATGTTTGTGGAAACCCCATTCCCGCTCTGGTTTCTTGTGATGAGGCAGCAGCCCAACTCCAAGCTGTTTTGCGACCCAATGAGCGGAAGGCCCGACCCACCTGCAAGAAAGGTGCCACGAAGAAGAAGTCACAGCAACCTCATGACACCAACGTGGCAGTCTGGGAAATTTCAGATGGCGAGGTCACGACGTGTAGTTGGGGACCCAATCAGTTTACTGACACTGTCTTAAAATATAATAAAATATAAATGAGGAATTTCAACCAAACTAAAATGGGATTGCATGCACCCATTACATATACTTATGGTCACATGGTATTTCTCCATTGTTTACAATGTTGATCACCGGTTTTCCCTTAAGTATGGGTAGGGGGTAAGTGAACCGGTGGACACCAAGGTGAAGCTGTTGATGACCTACATGATGATGAGCCTGCTGGTGACCTAGATGATGGTGCACCTAAAACTCCAGACCTGGTGGGGGAAGAGGTGGTGATTCTGGGTGGTTCTGACCTGACCCATGCTGATGGAGGGGAAGTAGCGGGGTCTGTGGAAGTTGGTCAACCGCGTTACCATGGTGTTGAACTTCAATGTGGTCCCAGTCCCAAGCCAACTGAACTTGAAGTATCCGATGAATCAGAAAGGATCTTGGATTCTCCCAAACGTGGCTGCTACTGTGACCATGAAATGGGACTTGCAGATAGGCAGCCTGAATCTTTCGAAGACTGGTATCGGTGTGATCATTGCAAAAACGTACAGAAAACAGGGAACCCGGATGAAGTTGAAACCCAAGCTGGTGCTGATGTGGTGCCAGAGGCTGTTGCAAAGCTTATGTCTCAATTTACCATCAGTATGATCACACCTCAAGGTGAAGTGTTTGTTCGAAAAGATGATGGTTTTGAAAAGGCTTCCAGTCCTAGACCAGAGTATCGACGCCTTCGCCCTTTGATCCGTGAACCTGTGGTGGTTGACAGCCCTGAGCCAAGCCCTTCCCGGGGGTATTCTCCTCCTTCACCTTTTGAAGAACATGACCATAGCGCACGCGAAGATTCACATGTTTCTTGTTCGAAACATTCAATGGTTTATCCCATGCATGATCAATTTCCCATTTAGTGTTCAAAAAACATATATATTTTGTTTGGATGAGGCTGATGTCATGATGATCGAAGAGACCGATTCCGATGAAGACGCTTCTGGGTTCCCGGCGTTGAATCCGTTTGGATTTGATTGCTCGGAAGAGGCACCATCCTAGCTGGGCCAATGCATGGGAAGTGGGTAATGTCTATATAGTTTTGTCACGTTACGTTGACATATAACATGTAATGATGAAACCAACATAACAAACATCATTCACATGTTTGGTCTATGTCAGGGGTTGAATGCCCAGTCATACCCATTCTTTAAAGTTTTGAAACATGATGAAACATGTATATTGGAAATGTCAACACCCAACCTTTCCACAATAACCAAAAATCACGTGCACACACACACATGAGATATCTATACATGTGTGCCCCCTCGATCTGACAGCCGTTGCAGGAGGATGCAAGTGCCACCGCTGCTGAGTTGGCTGCTGGTCATGTTACCAATGCCATGGAGGCCTATTTACTCTTCTTGCTTTCCCTGGGCTATTTTTTTATTGTCTGGGCTTGGAGATGTCCATATCATATCACTATTCAAGTTCAACTTCCTTTGCGAGTCCCGTGTATTTATTCCCAAATAAAAAGACTATTATAGCGTCTTTAATATACATTATGGATATATAGTACTTACCCCTGATTGCCGGCCCTTGGAGGACAACCTTGCTGATCGGCCAGTGCCAGTTGCTGATCAGCCAGTTGCTGATCATGCCCGAACTGACACAGAGGACTACTTATTATGATTAAGTTTTTTTTGGCGGGGGGCTCCTGGTGAAGTTTTCGATGCTCAACCATTCAATACGAAATTGGGAATCACAAAACAATTTGAGATAGCCACATTGAGCCACTTGATTGCCAACCGTTGCAGGACCACCCAAGCGCATCTGCTCCCGTTCAAGATTTTGATGACAAGAAGGACTGAAAGAATGGGTAAACCACACATGGCCAATTTCCCGTTGTTCTAGGAAAGACATTGCATATCCGCGATATCTATGGTATGCACAAAATTTACTTTGAGCGTCATGTGAAACCACCATCCCAAATCCACACATTGGGGTTTCCCGCAACCACGGTTCAAACAAATTATGTCGTCGCCTGGCGAGAGGATCCAAATGCTGGAAAATACCCACTTCCAGCTCCACCGGCCTACATGGGAGAGATTGAGAAGGAGGTTTCCTTGATGGCCCCACCAGAGTTTGCTACCCAGGGTGAGGCTGCTGGAAAGACAAGGGGTCGCAAGAAAACTAAAGAAGCTAAGTCCAGACCAAGGGGAAAAACACCTGCAAAGAATCGTCGAAACTCAACACGAGGTGTCGCAAAGGCCAAAGCAAAGGCCAAAGCAAAGGCGAAGTCTAGCAGAGCAAAACCAACCAGGTCAGCTGCAAGCAGCAGCGCGAAAGCGAAAGCAAAGTCCCGAGCCCGAGCGATCCCTGCCCCAGAAGAAGAGCCAGCCATGCCGTCAAGTTCCAACCCGAAAACTGAAAGGAAAAGGGCCTCTAGTGAGAAAACCACTTCTGCAAGCTCCAAGCCCAGGGTTGAAAGGAAGAGCAAGGCCAGCACTACTGTGGAGGAGGAGCCCAGGATCCCCCCACCGCATGTGACGCATAATCACATATACTCTTCGGCCTACCGCCGAGCATTGGCTGCGGACCCAAATGATCCCCCGAAGGCTAGGAAGCTAGCACTTGAGGCAGTTGAATTCTTTAAGAAAACGGGCACTGTCAATGGGCTCTGTGGTCAGTTCAGATCAAAGCCCCGGAAGAGCCGTGGCGCCACTGATAATGAATAGATTCAATAGATGTTGGGTCTTGTCGGACCATGATGTTAGGACTTGCCATGGGGTGTGTCTTAGTGATTCTCGGGATACATGAAAACTCATTCATGCAAAAAAGAAGTTTAGCGAATTGTAGATTCCATGAAGTGTTTTTGAAATATGCGCATCCCCAGTATCTGACACACCTGTGGCTGTGCCACTATGTGCCACTTGCTTTTGCTCGCAATGGTGACTTTCGAACTCGGGCACCATCATTAGGGGATACAATTGATATGCGGCCCGGAGAAAAAATCATTCACGTACATAGATTAAGTTTCAGCAGCTCCCAGAATCTTGCCTGGTTGCATGACATCTGCAGTCCACCATGTAGTAGAAGTGCTGCATGGCATTTAACCTCGCAGTGATTTGGATCCACGTGACGCCCTGTGCTTGTTTGGTCACCACCATGCCACGAACAAAGAGAGTGCAACTTGAATGAACACCAACAGGGCATGTTGACCATTGGAACTGTTGTGAACTTTGAAGTACATTTCCCATTTTGAGGTAATTAATAAATTTAATTTGTAATTCGAAAATTTTTGATTAACTTTCCCCAAAAGACCAGCTAGCTGGCCAAGGTATGGTGATGCGCATGGCGATGAGGAGAGAGCCCAGGTGACAATTCCTCGCGTGATCCCCGTTGGTCCTGTTCATCCCACGGGGCTACCCTTCAGGCTATGGTGTATTATCACCCTTCTTGCTCAGGCCCAATGTATTCAGCTAAATGGGGAAGGGGTCGTGATGTGAGAGATGTCAAAAACTTCTCATGAACAACATATGACCATCAAATCCAAACATATCTAACCCGCATGTTTTTCAACAACCCTCGACTCCCATTTTTTGGTGTGTGGCAGGCATTCGTTCACACTCCCGACAAGTATTCGTGCGTGGATATGTTTGCTGGGAAAGCAAGGATCAGTAAAGCTTTTGCAGAGTCCTACTATGGAACATGCACGCTGGACGTTTCCCGTGATGAAAGTGACGACCCTCAATTGATATGATCCAGACCCTCCAAATACCACCCATATGTGGGGTATATCAAAACATATATTTATAATTCAGGGTACTGTTTTGGTATATACCTTATTTTACTTCATTATTCATGTTGATTATTATGTTGCATTGATAGCTGAGGACCTGATGACACCACTTGGCTTTTGCAGACATCTTATGGCGATTCTTCAGCTTACATCGGCTGGACTTGTGACCATGGGGATACCCTGTTCCACCTGGGTGACCATCAACCGACTCTTGCCAAAATCATGTGTTGTGAGTCAATGGCTAACGGTAGTTTGGGTACTATAAATGGGATTTCTGTGAAGCCGCTATAGTAATAAAGTAATACGATTCAAAACTCGCAATGTATCTAGTAGTTGAGGGGTGAAAGTCATAGTATATTGGGTGGCAATGGGGAGTCTGCCACATGAGATTCCAGCCCAACTTGGAGCCCTTGTTCAGGAATGGTCTTAAATATTGGTAGTTGGTAGTTCTTATGTTAGACAGTTACTTCATGGGATCTTCGTAGAACCCCTGAACTTATCACTTGCATTCATTGGGAATTTGCTTCATTCATGATGCCCATGATCTAGAATTGAACGAACAATGCAACCATGTAAGGGGTTACCATTCATTGTGCATGAGACATGTGGTTTAGAATACCCTGGTATCCAATGTAGTTGCACGTGACGCCTAAGGTGGAACCTCCCGACGAAGCAAAGACGTGCCATTGGGGACGACACTTGTCTGAAGTAATGCCCACATGCAATTATATAATTGAGCCATTAAAAATACCCCTATCCCATCTCATTATACTAGTTGGTTGATAGGTTTCCCTACTATGGGTTATCATAATCCCCAGTAAACCAGGTAGTATAATCCCCTATAGCAATCAATTAACCTAATGGCTCAATTGTAATGCAAATCATCAAAAGACAGCTCGTCTATTGGAGCATGTGAATGGATGAGTTCATCTCTTGGAATTGTCAGGTTAAGGCATGGGAACCGTTCCATCTCTAGCTTCCCCTTTGTGATTTGTTCGTTCCCAGCCACAGCCCTTTGAGGGTCGTACTTCTGCTCTGCCCAGGAATGAGAAGGCCACTGGAGAAGCAAATTCCTTGGTAAGCAGAGCTGCTTGTTCAGCATCCGGTTTGTATCTAGGCATCTAGGAAACACAATGCCTTTTTTGGTTGGAAAATGGTGACCATATGCAGGATTAATAACTATGGTTAAAATCAAGGTACCATGCAAAATAGCTATTTTGGGGCACCCTTCCCCACTTCCCTTATCCAACTACTAGTTAATGTTTATTAATCCTGGGTGCACATTATCATGTGTCGTGAAGTTATTTGAATCCACGGTTGGATGTGACTTGTTACATGTGTGGAACTAAGTGTGCTCTCCTGATCTACACCATCATCCATCGTGGTGGCATTTTCATGGTGGAAAACCCGATGACGTCCTTGGTTCGCTGCTTAATCTTTTTACGTCTGTGTGTGTGTGCAGAAAAAATCACACCGGATATGGTTTTGGGCATCCCACATTTTAAAACGTCTTCCTATTGCATTAACAGGATGATGCGCATGTTGTTTTTGCAATTTAACTACCTCGCACATGTGTTCAACTGAGTTGGGCTATCATCCCAGACTTGCTGAAGTGTTTGGTGCGATCCAGACCCACGAAGCATTCACTTGGCTTGGGGAGTTCGGAGTGGCTGGGATTGCGACCCCAAAGCCCATTCGACTGTGGTCAAACAGCAATTTCATTCAACACCTTCGAAGGACTGTTATTTTATGATGATGATGATGATGTTGCTGCTATATACCATATATATCTTTGCAATCTACAATTTAATGCAACGTTTTCTCTAACTTCACAATATAGATCGGTCACACCAGTACCGCGCTGCTGCTGCAGGACACTGAGGCGCAGTCGCTACACCCGGGGTCGAGGATTGGTGGATCACTATTGGGACAGAGCTGGTCGCCGAAGGTTTAAGGGGTCAACTCGGTTGAAGCAGAGCCAGGCGTACCCTTTACGCTTTGCTCGTGCAGTCACTCTGTTGTTTTATCGCTCTGGGGGGATGGTGTTGTATTAAGTAGCTCACTTGAGGGCGAGAAAGAATACACATTTACATAGTTCTAGCACAGCCAGTGTTATCACAGTTGTTGTCGCTCAGGTAAGAGATGCATGGGCTGCTGCTCACACACCAGCTCCGCGCACAAAGCCACACGACTTGGTGAGCCATGCTCAGGATCTTTGGGAGGATGCCAGATTAGAGCAGGTTATGGCATGGCTTGAGGACCATCTGAGAGGTCGTCGTGCCAAAACACGCATCTAAACTTTCAAGTTTGGGTGTGTGTGTGCACCGCGTTCTGCCACCAGATGGCTTTTGAACAATTAGATTAAATTTGTTTGCCCTCCATGTTTCTAAACGTGGAGGTTGACAGGGGCAACAGAGATGGTCCGGTGAAAAATATCATGCATGCATGCATTTGATTTGTATTTAACTGGCTGTCTAAACATACATACAATTAAAATGGGGGTTCCACCAAATCATACCAATTATGTAACCAATGGTTTGATAAACTTCCACATGGCTATCCATACTACCATGACAATTGGTATCCGGTTTGTTTCAATTGAGCTATATAGGGGATTTGATAGTATCTATGTAATGAATGGTGTGGTACACCGAGTAGAATCAACACCTGCTCCAAATTTGATGGTTGTTAGGGATATTGGATGGTTCCTTCAAAACCCTTCTCATATCAACTGAGTAATGGGAATTTGATAGCATCCACCTCAGGAAATTCCAAATGTGGTTAATTGTGGAGTGTATAAGATACAATCGACTAGGATACCTCCAATCTTGATGGTTGTTTGGTGGTTGGCTGGATCGATAATATATTGTTAATGTTTTGATATCTCCGGATCCCAGGTTTTCCTTTCCGTTTAAAATTGTTATTGATGGTCATACCCTGAGCATCGCCTTTTGATTACAATCAATTAGCCCCTATGATTTTTACATTGTTTTTTTTTGAAGAGGTAAAATCAAAAGGGAAAAATCATGACTTGGAGGCAATTTGGCAGGAATTTCCTTTTTGATTTTGCTTGTTTTGGATGGATGCTTTTCTTTTGATTTTTTTGGTGTTTTTCCAGGCCTGTCTAGTAGCAAGTTTGCTGCTGCTGCACATGTTTTTTTCATATGTTTCTGCAGCTGTTTGTAGCTCAAACATATAGAAATCAACATACAATAAATATATATACACACATCAAAAATGGAAAGCTTTGGAAAAGGCAAAAGTGACATCTGTGGAAGTGAAGGCTTTGGAAAAGGCCAAGGTGAAGGCTTTAGAAAAGGCAAAAGTGAAGGCTTTGGAAAAGGCCAAGCTGAAGGCTGTGGAAAAGGCGATGAAGGCTTTGGAAAAGGCACAGGAAAAGGTGGTGCCAGACACTTTCCAAAACCTTACATCGATTCAGGTCTGCTATACAAAGTATTGGCAGACAATGTGTTGGTTTTGAAGAACCTGGGCAGCTATGAGCATGTCTCCAAAGCCAATTGCCCTTGCCCAAAAGGGTTAGTCCACACCATTGGGCTCTGGAAGTCAGTGCTGAAACTAGAACCTTCTGGAGAGGTCCATCCTCAACCTCTGAGGACAGCACTGATCAGCCTGCTGGCTGAGAGGCCAGAGCTCAATTGCACCTCGAGCTCTGGCCAGGTGTGGGCTAACCTGAGAATGGAAAGGATCTCTTGCATCCTCTTCCATGTGAGGAAGCTGGGCAGAGATGGGCTCACATCTGCTGCTGCCAAACTCTGCAGAGATGATTTCTCACTGCTGCAGCAAGGTTTGAAGCTGCTGGAAATCCCAGATGCTTTGGAAAAGGTACCTAAACCAGTGGCACTTCCTTTGGAAAAGGGAAGAGCAGCAGAAAACTCAAATAGAAAGCTGAAAAAAGAAAACAGTGATGTTTCCATG